CTATATCCATCAATTTTGTTATTGTGGCCTATTATCATTTGGTTAAGATTATTTGTATTGTATCAATGTATGTATCTTATCGGATTTATCTGTGTTTAATTTTATATTTTTAATAAATATTAAATTTTATCATGTTTATTTTTTTATTAGTGTGGGGTGAATATAAAGTAATATCTGTTCGAAAAATTCTCAACCATTAAACAATGAACGCTCATACACTATTACAGACGTCGTACTCGAACTCAAGATATCTAAAAATAATAACAATTTATTAACCACTAAAATCACTTGGTTATTAAATGATTATTAGTGCATTTCTATGAGAATCTTATATAAATCTATTGTTGTTATGTTTAATTCTTAAATAGTGTTTTTTTTTAATTTTTTTATTTATCGGATTATATAAAAAGATAAAAAGGAAAAGAATTTAACACCTTTTAAAGTTATGATCTGACTACTTTTAAATAGTCAACCCAAAGCCAATGCGAATGCCATTGCCAAAGCCAACTATATCTAATTTATGAATTTACAGTACTTCTACTCACCTACATGAATAGGGAAAATACTTCTTAACATCGACAGTCATTACTGGTAATGTAAATAGTGGAGACCAATTATGGGGAGTTGGTTATCCGCATTTAGAAAATAGTTGGAGTCGATAGTTATCATTTGATAATTTTATTTATCCGATACTCGTATAAAAGAGAGTTTATTTCCCTAATAAAACATGCATTTTGATGATTCAATTGTTTTTTTTCAAAAAAAAATCTCTAAGAGATCAATACAAGTGGGTTTCACTTTTCTTTAAGTGTACGAGATTTGAAAGACTGTATTAATCTTGGGAGTAACATACATTTTGGGATTGCATCTATCTAGATGAAATTACTTCTAAGACATTGATTTATACTTTATCACAATATATCATTCTTTATGTGTTGTTTTATATTTCTTTATGGTTTCCACCTTAGGAGTAACGTACATTTTCAGGATTACACCTATCTTTAACGTTTGAAATTAAATTAAAAGTGCGATCTACGCTACCATATGTGTTGTTTTATTCTTCATTATGATAGGTTTTGGCTTTAATTTTTGAATAAATCCAAGCTGAAAGTGAAAGCAAACCCAACTGCTTCCTCTACTGGGTCTCTCATTAAGAAAAGGATAAAACAACTTAATCCTTAAATTTCGTAATATTTTACAACTTAGTCCTTAAGCTTTTTTTCTTATGAGCATGTGTGGTAAAAAGAAATATTATTCTATCTAAAATATCCGAATTTGAATAACCTCATCTAAAGAGTGTACGCGCCTAATCAATAAAGTATACTGTGGACAACGACTTTTATTAATTATACCAACTAGGAGTGTAAATGAGCATAGCGTTTGGTTAACTATTCGTATAACGTTCGTTTGTGTTAGTTTGCTAAAATAAATAAACAAGTATAAACAAAAAATTTATGTTCATTTAATAAACAAACAAACAAGAACATAGGCGTGTTCGCTTCGTTTATGTTCATGAACAAGCTCGATTAATGACTCGTTTAGAAACTTGTTTATTTATTTATATTTTTAATATTGGTGAATGTATGGACTAAATTGAATACATGGTGAAATTTGGAGTTTAGATTATGAAGCTTAAGGAGTTTAAGCACTAGTGGTGTAATTTTATTTTTAGCTTGTAAATGAACATATTCGTGCACATATAAACGAAGACTAAATAAATATGTTAACGAACGTAAAATGAACATGTTCATTAACATATAAACGAAAATATTTGTGAACGTTAAACGAGCATGTTCACGAACACTAAATGAACTACGAACATCTTTAAAAATAAATAAATGAACACTAACACAATTTTATTAGTTACAATTTGATTTATTTATACCTAATCCCAATTAACCTTGTGCTCTAGATTTGAGACATTTGAGGGCAGTCCATGTTATTTTTGTAGATTTATGATTTTATCTGCTCATATGATTTTATCTTTGGTTCGGTTGTTTTGGCATGGGTTTATTTCCGGGTTATGTTGTGTTGGCATGGCTACTTAAATGTTAGTTCGAATTTGTAATCTCTTGGCGAACCTGATGTACTCTTTTTCCTCCATTTAAGATTAGGGATATTTTTTAACGAGACTCATGGCTCGCCCGGTCTTGTATGGTTCCGTATTTCAATAAGATCATACATGACCCCCTTCCAAAAAAAAAAAGTTGAATATGCTCACCTTGCAACAATCTGATGCCTTATGCAGTCTCTCAACATTGCACCACAGCCATTTCTGTGTTGTCATAACTGAATAAACAACATTTAAGAATCAGAACCTGGTGATAAAATGATGGATACAGCATAAACCTCAAGTTGACAATCTAATCAAAGAATCGCATAAATCAGATATCATCCATAAATTAGGATTATAGCTCCATTGTAAACAAGCAAATGCTTGGCACTCATGTGAGTAAATCAATAAGAAGCCAGTAACGGAAGTGCTTCCACAATATCTTTTGCTTATTCAAAAGAATAAAACAAAAAACTGAAAACTGACAGTAACTTATCATCTTAGTCTAGCATTAAGTGGTCCAACTCCAAACTAGATAACACAGATACAAAGATCCCAGAAACAATTAAATTATTGAAGACCAGCCTATAAACAAGAAAGTAATAAACCTTTTAGGATTACCACTTACCCTGCTAATAAAATATCCAAAAGATCCAAGTTCGCCTCCATGTAATCAGAAGCAATCAGCAGCGAATGCACTCGTTGCCTTTGCAAATTGGCAACAACTTGAGTGGTATCTTTCCTCGCCTGCAAAGGAACCCACTTGTCAAATTATCATACAAGCAACAACAGGATAAACTTGTAGGTGCTGCAACAACAACTCTTGCCAAGGAAAATTCCACATCTAAACATTTACCTCCAAGTTCAATTTAGGAAGACAAGTGATCAAGAGCCGCGGCGTGTTCTCTCTGAAGAACTCTTCAGTCAGTTGTGCACAAGCTTCAGAGACTGGCTCAGAATTCAGATTCGCTATTTCCATAGAGAATACATTTAAACTCCCCTAAATTTTTAAATAATTCTGCCATCTGCATCAAAAGAACTAAGAACAAATTGCGCTGCTTTCGTTTAAATCAAATAACTCCTCAGGCACAACAGAAATCATACATATTTTAATTCCAATAGCAACTAAATCACATTCCGACGAATCCAGATCAAATGTATATTTCAGTGACGAACCTTCTCTTCCTGCTTGGAATCACGGCCCTCGGTGGAGCGGGAGGCGTAGCCGAGGAGATCACGCTTTTGCGGCACGATATCGGCTGGAGTTCGCAGCTTGGATTTCAAAAGCCCCTTCATCCTGATAGACGATGAATTATCGAAATGGTTCGATGTAGAAGAAGTGGTGGTACCACGATCACGTTGTGCTGCCGGTTGCCTGAGCCTCTGTGCAATGGAGGCACTGCTCGTCGCACCGCCTGGCTTACTCGCACAAATTCCTATCCTTTCACACCAAAAAAATCCACGAGTTTTTCACTGATATTTTTTCTCCAGTTGTTTTGGAATATGTTTCAACAATTGCTGTGAGTTTAGGTCGATTTGGCTTATTTTCTGAATTTTCCTGCGATTTGATTGTTTCAAATGCTTTCTATTTATCCAACGGTTTCGGATTTCCCTTTAACATGGATTACTGAACTGTTGGTCGTTTCCTTGCAATTTATCCAGCTCAGTTATATTCTCCTGCAAACTGACCGTAAAATTAGTGAACAAAATGGTAAAAATAAAGAAATTATCTTGTTATTGATCGATAAAATCATCGGGAGTTATCAATAATTTTTATTCATACTTTTAAGATTAAATTAAAAGAAAAATATAGGTTTAGTAACATATAAATATTTAAATTATATTCTATACTAATATTATATGTATAAAAAAATTCTCTCAAAATAAATATATCATCTAGTTTAAACAATAAATAAAATCGACCTAAATCATTGCACGAACTGAAACAATTATTGTACGAATAAGTCTAACTCAAACGATCTCAATGATTAAAGATATAATTGTTATCTTAAAGGTTTAATGTTTGAACATGACGTTTGTGGAATGTTTAACATTCATTGTCAAAAAAGTCTTTCGAATATATATTATCTTATAATCACATCATATTAATAAAAAATAAGTATAAATCTTTGGATCTATCAAGGGCCTACAATGATAAAACAAATATAACTCATTCTTTTTAAAGTGAATTTCTTATCATTTATTACTATTAATAGTAATCATATATTTTTATTTATCTAATAATCAAAATAACCAAAACAATTTTCCAAAAAAAATTAAATTGTACAATTGAATTCTGTCTTTTTAACTTATAAGGCATTAAAAGTATAGTACTAAATTAAATTTATTTTAATTTTCTATTAAATTAATTAAATTAGCATTTTATTTAATTATCTTTCTACTTTTTCTTAAAATTATTTGAAAACAAATTAAAAACTTAAGTTAAAATATATTGGATTTTAGTCGAATTTCACATTTAGACCCATTTATATATAAATTTGGCTAAACTACACATTTTGTATCTAAATTATTACTTTTATTTCATTTTGCTCATTCAACTGTTTTTTCTTTTAAAATCATAAGTAATATTACGTTTTAGTTTCATTTTGATCACCATCATTATAATGACACATCAACGTCATTGTTAATTTTTTAATTTTAGATGAAAATGTGGTATTATCTTACAATGACACATCAATATCATTCGTTGTTAATTTTTAAATGGTAGATGGTTAAAATAAAACTAAAACTAAAACTAAATGTTAAGTATGATTTTAAAAACATAATTAGGTGATTAAAATAGAATAAAAATAATAATTAAAAAATACTAATCAGGTAATTTACCCTATAAATTTTGTGAGTTCTGTTCTTGTTTGTATATACGAAAAAAAACAGCAAAATCAAATTCTTAATTTCAAATCTCGGAACAAGATGCATCGCAAAACACACATAATTATAGGTTACTTAAATTTTTATTCCCCACTCAGTTAAGTAAACATCGGGGTTGGTCATAGAACAGTATCAGTCAAATCTAACCCTTGACGAGATTAAAGGATGTAAGATTCTTGTAATTCTGCCATGCCTTCTCCCACACGACGGCCTCATACGTCTTCTCCGTCGCTTCATCCTTGGCCTTCAGAGCCAGGCGGTAGTTCATCCCGGAAACCACCTGAGTCTCTCCTTTGACGACCTTCTCCAACTTTAAACTAGCCTTTGACTCATTGTTATACTCGCCGACAGCGAACTCCGCTATCTCAGTCACGTGCGGATCCGAGATGTTTTGGATCGGGGACCATCCTCCGGTGAGATTCGCCTTTCTGGCGTCGGAGAAGATGAGAGAGAGGAAGACGAGGGAAAGTAAGAAAATCAAGGAACGTGAAGTTTGCTGCATTGCGTCAATTTTGGGGCTTGGATATGAAATTGAAGTGGATGTATTTATAGAGAGAGAGGTTAATGTATCTCGTGAATGGGATACGTAGCACCCGGGTTTTCATTTTGCGAGTGGTAACGCCTTGAATTGGATTGAAATTACGGTGGAGCCATGGGGTAGGGTTATTCTGAAACGCGGTGAAGCTGAACAAAAGTGGAACCGGCCGGCATGAATTAAGCGCATACGTTAGATTATGATCTGAGGGTGTAGACCAGCGCTGAGCTGTGTTGGAGAATTTCAGGGTCTGTAGTTTGTATGTATTGAAGGGATTACTCTTATCCCTTTATAAATTTTACCCACCCACTTAGCAGTCATGCATCCAAGCACGTGAAGTCGGGTGATAAAGACTGTAGATTGCTGGCTGTTGCCCACTTATAACCCGTTACAAGTGAAAAGTGAGAGCGGTCGGTAGTGGGCCCAAATGAAAATTAGGTGAGCTGATGTCGCTTTATTTAATACTTTTATTATTATATTTATTTTATATTAAATTAATAATATACTAAATTAAATTTTATCATTTAATTTCCTTGAAATATGCTACACTCAGTTAGTGCTCCATTCTTTACACGAAGGAAATTGCATATAATTATAATTAGAGACTAATGAAAAAAATTTAGGTTAACAAACGTGAATTTATAAAATTAAAAAAAATAAAAACAAATTATTAATAAAATATATAAAAATATATATAATATATGAGAATTGATATTTTCAAAGAAATGATTAATTCTCTTATTGAAATCATAGTATTTTGAAAATTTTGATATTTTAATCATTCAACCATTTAGAGAAAGGGTAAAGAATAGTAATGGTCCCTGAACTTTTTTAAAACTTTTATTTAGGTCACTCAACTTTTAAAACTTGAAATACAACTCTCCAACATTTAGTTCGTTTGTAATATGGTCACCGACGTTATACTGCCGTTAGTACGTTTGCAATATGGTCATAGAACTTTTCAGGCGCTTGCATTTAGGTCCCCCAACTTGTAAAACTTGTAACACAGTCCTCAATTTCATTCTAAACCCCAAATTCCTTTTCGATCTCGAATTTTCTTTTTCGTTTCCCTCTTCTCATTTCCAGCGTAACTTTTTAGTCGGGGATGCATGGGAAATTCTAATCTAATTTTGAATTACGTGGAGGTGTTGACTTGAATAAGAGTTTATTGAGAGAAGACCCGACCAAGGGACTATCGGGACTATCAACGATTCAAGGTCTAATGTTAGATACATGTTATCTCAGGTGAAGCATAGATGTTCGATGAAATGCTTGTGAGAAAAAAATGGGATTAGAAATGCAGAGTTGACAAAAACTACTAAGATGAACTAAGTATCATTGTTGAAAGTCACAAACAAAACTGGAATTATTTTGTATAAATGGCATATAATAATTTATTCGTTTGATCCTTGTGGTTAAAGATTTTCCAACAGATGATCAAATATAATGAATTTTGAAACAGCGCATTCACCTGTCAGTCTCTTTTGCAACTCGAAAGGCATCATGACAGGGTCAAATAGATGCTCCAAATATAATACACTGTCATGATGTCTTTCGAGTTGCGTGCATGCAAAATTGTATTCTAAAGCTATAATCAATGCAATTCAACTGTAAAATTTCCAAAACATGTAAAAAAATCCAATTCGTTCACGATATATCAGTGTCATAATCGACATGAACTTATTAAAAAGAATAAGAACTCACAGGACTCCGAAAACCATAGGTCGAATCATTACAATTCCCAATAAACTAGTACCAACAGTCTTTCGGATTGAGTCTGGCGATTTCACTACGTCAATACTCACAACCAATTCCCTTATTTAAAGAAAAACCAAACAAGAAGATCAAAAAAATTTAGCTTATTACCCTCTTTCACTTATATTATGATGGACTGAATATCTTTCATAAGGAGTACTAAAAGTTTTTATTAAGAACCGGAGAAGACTTGTATCTAACATTACACCTTGAATCGTTGATGGTCCCGATAGTCCCTTGGTTGGGTATTCTCTCAATGGACTTTTATTCAAGTCAACACCTCCACATAATTCAAAGTTAGATTAGAATTTCCTATGCATCCCCGACTGAAAAGTTACATTGGAAATGAGAAGAGAGAATCGAAAAAGGAAATTCGAGACCGAAAAGGAATTTGGGGTTTAGAATGAAATTGAGGACTGTGTTGTAAGTTTTAAAAGTTGGGGGACCTAAATGCAAGCGCCTAAAAAGTTCAGTGACCATATTGCAAATGTACTAACGACAGTGTAACGTCGAGGACCATATTGAAAACGGACTAAATGTTGAAGGACTGTATTGCAAGTTTTAAAAGTTGAGGGATCTAAATGAAAGCTTTAGAAAAGTTCAGTGACCATTACTATACTTTACTCTTGGAGAAATTATAACTTTTACCTAGAGGTGACAAACAGTTGTTCAGACCAAGTTATTTTAAATTCGGATTATATTCAATCCATGTTCGATTTAAATTAAATTAGATTTACATTTAATTTAAGTATACAATACATTAAATTAAGTAATATTAGATCACTTATTTCCCCTTTTTTTATTAATATCATACCATATCGGTGGATTCGGTTGTTTTCCAAAACAATTGATTTACTGCCTGTTTTTTATTTCTGGTTTTTGATGTCAGTTCTATTTTTTTTGGTCCCTTTTCACGATTGACTCCTCATATAGGTTATATAGAGTTGTCTCAAGGAATGGACTCCTCACTTGTCAAGATCAATAACATATAGGTTATGGATATATTATGTACTATTATATTCTTTTATTAAATTTTTAAAACAATGATAACTAGATTTTATTAATAAAAATATAAAAGAAATCAGAATTATAATACACTCAAACATAGAAAAAAAATGGGATAATAATCACTAAAAAGTTATACAAAAACAAAAATATAAAATCTAAAGATACGAAGAAAAACGAAATTTTCACTTGAGAATGACTATCAACATCAAAAGAATCCAATAACCTTCCTAAAAACTACTTGTCTATGTCGAACGAGATGCTTTACGAAATGATAAAGGAGTGGTGAGCGAACCAGATTATATGACAAGTTGCTTCGTTGCACAATTATAATTATATTGACAAACAATCTTTAAACAAAGGGAGGATTTGATTATATTTTATTCTGACAAACCAATCAAAAAATAAATGTCATTTGTGTGACCACCAAAACGACTGTCAATGTATGCGAAAACGTATCAAAAGCCATAAAGATTGTTTCACAATAATTGAAAAAACTCGTGTCACAATGATAGAGATTATTATTCAAAATTGGAAAAAAAATCTTAAGAAAAAAGGAAAATAAAAGACATAATATAAAAAAATAATTAATAATCATCGACGGTTAACAATCAATATTAAAATTAATGTCGTCGTTAACAAAACAAAAATCAAAGAAAAAGAAGAATTAAATACAAAGTTGAATGAAATGAGCAATATATATACATCGTTTTCTACTCATACAAATGAACTAAATATACAGCAAGACGAGAGGGCAAAGGGAATTCTCCCCACACCTATTGTGATTGCTAATCACTTCGTTGCAACATCATTCTCACTGTGATATACAGCTTGTGATGAACCTATACGCTATACATATCATGCTTTCCCATTTCGTCTATCGGACACCTTGGTTTGTTCCAAAAACAAAAGCACCTGCCATCATACAAAAAATGGACTAATTAATAAAACCCACCAAAATTTATTGCTCAAATTCATTACGGAACTAACGTGACGGAAGAAGGAAGGCTCAGTTTACCAAGCGTAGGCATTAATATCGATAAAATTACAGTGCCGACAATCTTGAGCGGTATCCCCGTCTTGACCATATTCGGAATGTCTATATGCCCGGTTGTGAATCCGACGACATTCGAAGGAGTTGCGGTCGGAAGCACGAAAGCGAATTGCGACCCAATTGCGCCAGGAATCATAAGGAGTAATGGATGGACGCGCATGGTTTTGGCCATTTGAATCAAAAGTGGAAGCAAGAGGGTCGCGGTAGCATCGTTCGATGTTATGAACTCGGTGATTATGGCGCTAATTAAACAGACTGCAGGGGCGATAGCTAAATAAGGAACCACTTCAAGGAAATCTAGAGTTCCTGATAAGACATCGGCGAGTCCACTCGACTGGACGCCATCAGCTACAGCGAAACCAGCTCCTAGTAACAAAATAATGCTTCATGGTAGCTTCTTGCATTCGTTCCATTCCATCAATGCCTCTCCCTTTTGCTTCTTGTTCGGGATTACGAACAAAAGTGTAGCCATGAGAACCTACAAGGTTTAAGATTATAGTTGATCCCATCAAATATGACGGTTAACTGTTTAAACTAACTAATAATTTAAGAATAGTGGAGTGACTAAACCTTAATTAAAACTAAAGTTTATATTACTCACACTGACGGTTCCATCGCCTGCACGGCCATGGAAGAGAACTCCCCATCCTGGAATGTCTTCTGTTATACTTCTGGTCATCCACAAAGCTACCATCATCTGCATATTTGGTCATTTTATCTTTGTCCGAATTTTTTTTCCTTTCATGCACTAACGGTTTGAGAAAAGATATTCGAAATAATAACTTATAGTTTGAATACATTATTAACATGTACTAACCCCAAATACTGCTAGAACCATCTTCTCAGCAAAAGCCATTGGACCTGTTGATGTCGAATAAATAACTCTAATTAGCTTAATTTACATTCTAGATCATTGATTAATCGGAAAAAATTCGGAAATGTACCTAATAAGTCCAGTTCTCTCTTGAGATGGGCTCTATCCAAGTGAGGGGCGAGGGCCTGGCTAGAGCCCCTGCGTAGATACAGCAAACAGAGAATCGCCCACAAGGCTAAGAAAATCAACACGGCCAATGGAAAACCAAAGAAAAACCACGTGTTGTAACCGATGGGATCGGCATCCGGGTAGGACCCCTTATACATGGCCACCAATATCAATGTGACGCCTGTTCCGGTGAGCG